ATTACACCATTTCTTGAAAGATCGTTTGGCTTTAAAATTTGGGTTCCTTTCATGGATGTTTAGTATTTCAGTGATTTTTTCAATCAGGTCTGTGTCTGATTCTTATATGTTATTTATATGTGTAGTATTTGTTTCAATCCGATTAACATACTGTAGTTTTAGGTTTTCTGTTTCTCCAAGTTTCATTGTGATTTCTGCTTGTTCTAAATTATCTACTATTTTTCTAAAATCTAAATCTGGCTCTCGAATTGAGGAAGGATGAGATGCTCTCTTTTTCCTAGCTATTTTCCTTAATTGATGTGTTAGGGTCATCATTAAAATTTCTGTCATTTTTGTGTTTTTATAATCGTGTGTATTAAGTAAATATGCTTTTCAAACTAGTGTTTCGATTCGAACTGCTAATTTTTTAATTGTTTCATTTGGTAATCTGCGTATTTCGTTGCATAAAACTCTTTGATATTGTTTGTTTCTTTCAGAATCAAACATTTTTGAAAATTCTTGTGTGCATTTTTTCCAATCTGATTTTATGTCTATAGGTAGTACTGAAAACTATTTTTGGCCTGCGCCATCTAGTGTTGTTTGTATTATTGCTGTGCGTCTATGTATCCAATTTCGATGAAGTGGCGTGTTAATTGGTTCAGGTCCTATATTTAAAATTAAAACTGCTGTGACTGCGTTTAAATAGTCTTCTACAGAATATTCAGGGTCTGTTCCTGTGAACACCATCAGTGGTTTATTCGATGTTATTGATGATCCACCCATGAGGTATGGATTCATAGTCATTTTTAGTGATTCTGCGGCATTTGGCATTTGCGAGAAGTTTGCAAGTTGGTTTTTTGTTATTTCATGTTGTTGAAGGTAATATGGAAGTGGTATTTCATTTTGCATTTAGGTCGGTTGGTAAGAATGCAGAGTCATTTGATTTTGTGGCTGTATAGGTTAAATGGGTTTTGTATATGCATTGGCTGTTGATTTTGCATGTCTGTTGGATTTTCTGGGTAAATTTTCATATTTTGGGATGGTTGAGATTGTCGCGGTCTTTGTGTGCGATATTCTTTAGTATATGGTGCAAATATATCTGGTTGATAGTAATCATCATCATCAGATGATAAGTAATTTGTGTTATAAGGTGTTTGTTTTTTATTCTTATTTTGTTGAAAAAATGGGTAATTTTCACTATGATCCTGTGGAGGGCGTGGATTATCTGGAAAATTTACTGAATTGGTTGATGTAATTGGAAAATTCCAATAATGAGAACTTACGTGTTTTAGGTTTTGCGTATTTTTTTGGGGGGGGGGGGGGGGTTGATTTGTTTTTGATTGATGTACATAGTTATAATTGTGTTCTGCAAAAGTGTTTTTTGTGAACGTTTTTCGTGTTTTTGATGGTTTCGTCATTGGTCTATATGTCTGATAGTCCATATGGGAATATTTTGGAGCAACCGAAGGTTTGACGGTCGATTGTAAGGTTACTTGTGGTAGTAATGTATTTGTATTTTTTGGTGTTGTGAGATTCGGACGTATTGGTGAGATACTTTGTTGTTTAGTTGTTACTGTTGTTTGGACTATTTCTTCATTTATGAAGTGTGATGGTGTTTGAATATCTTGTTGTGTAAGATTTCTAGTTCCATTGAGGTTTTCATTATGTATAACTGTTGAATTTAAGCTGTTATTTCGTGTATCAGGTAAAAATGTATTGTAATTTAATGGTGTTGCGTCAATCGTTAATGGTATTACTTTTACAAGATCTTTTTGAAAATATATTGTACTTATTGCTTGACTTGAGATATCCGCTGGAATGTTTAAAAATACTGGATGAGACCATTCAGAGTCCCAAACGTAATCTGATTGTTCTGCAATGACAGTGTCGTCATTGGTACTTTGGTGTCTAAAATTTTTTCTTGCTTGTGCCATTAAATCTAAATTGTGGGTAAAATAATCTATTATAAACCATGCTAAGATTTTTTTTTAAATCATGTTTAGTGTTTTGTGAGACATCATTATTGGTGAAATTTTCACGGATTATGTTTAAAAATGTTGAAAATGCGGTGATTTTGTTTCTTACCTTTGTATGTTTGGATGTTTGGGTTGGTGATGTACTTTGAGCTTCTTTTTTTTCTTATATAGATATATAAGTATATATTATTGCAAAAACTTCGTTGGTGAATATGGAGTTTGCTCTCTGTGAATTGTGATATTATATGCTTTTGATATATTCTGTGAATACTTTTGAAAATTCTAGATCAATATCATCTGTTTGGATTACATATTTACCATGAATTGTTCGTGGTGTGCTGAATTCTATGGTGTAGATTCCATATTGTGTTAGGTTACATATGTCTTTCAAATAAGGTTCTATAATTGGTCTTTTGATTTTTATATCTGGGAATTCTGCTTTACATGGACTGATTCCTGGTTCAAACAACTTTACGGGTAGGTTTTTACAAAATCGTGTTTGTCCTCTATCACTGAGTGAGTTTATACGAAAGGGAAAAAGTGCTTCTTCATCTGGACTTTCGTCACTCTGAGTGTTGCTCATTTTCTCGTTTGATGACTGTTAATATATAATTATCAATATGTCTAATTGGTTGATTCCAATTATATAGATGTACTGGTTTGTGTTTACATCGCTTTTTTATTCTTCTTTTTCCTCTTTTTGATGAGTTTGAAGTTGTTTCTGAATCGGAAAAATATAACTGATCATGGATGGGGCAATTTTTATTTACTGATTCTGTTAATTTATATAGTGCGTCTAGACTACTGACTTCTGATTCGAAGAATGCATTTCCGTTTTTTGAAAATCTTTTTCGTGTTATCTGTCTTTGTTTACTTATGATTTTTCTTTCTATTGTTTGTCGTTTTGTTCGAATGTATCCAACTGTTTGTGTGTGTAGTGTTATTACAAGATCATATTTTTGGTTGTCTATTTCACAATCGTGTAATACGATTGTTTGTTTATTTCCTAATTCTTTTAATGACATAAGGTTTAGGATGAGGGATGCAAGAAGTTATTAGTGATTAAATTTCCTAGACTGTTAGTCCTTACGATTTTTTGGTTAGCTTAACCTGGGTCTTTTTGTTCAGGGTTGGAGAGAAAAAGTATATCGATTCGAAGAATGATTTCTACTTTCTCGTGGCTAGTCTAAGATAAGGTGTTAACTTACTTACTCCCACTTAGGGGTAGTGATTGTGTTCAAGGGTTGGAGAATAGTAAATCGATCCACAAGATTCAGGTATAATTAGAACGCAAGTAGTTCGTTAGATACTATTTTAAACTTACTAAGTTTAAGAATTATCATGGGTCAGGTAAGAAGAGGGTTCAAGTGAAGGATGAGTAACCGAAGTTCTTCACTGTTTAGCCTAATTTGAATGGTTAGTGTGATTAAAAAATTTCTATTAGTCTTGGGTCTTTTTTGAAAAGTTGGATAGTGAATCGACGTTTGAGGTCGTTAAAGACTTGATAAATGGGTGGGGGAGAACCAAATTGTTCTTTTTGATCCAAGGATAAGCCTTGATGATCAGAATTTAAAATTAATAAGATAGAAAGTTAATTTAGATCCAAGGAAAGCCTTGATGATCTGGTTTAAGAGTAAATAAAATTAAATTTAAATTAATTTAAATTTTGTTAAAAGGTTTTAGTTTTTGATGATATTATTTGAATTAGGATTGCTTTTATGTTTAGGTGATGAAACTGAAACAACAGGATGATTTATATATACTAACATTTTTCTGTCATGCTACTAATTTTTAATTTTGTTTTCAATAAATATTTTTTCAATCATCTTTTATATAATACTGCAGAAGTTGAGGGAACAATTTGAGATATTTTTATCAATCATTATTGTACAATAGTAATTTTGTTTAGCGCCTGAAATAATCATTGAAGATTTCTTTCAAGGATTTTATGTTTGCAAATGAAAATCTAAATTCATTGCTAATCAGATTCTAAATATAAAAGTTTGTGTTGGCTTTTGCCGTACAACAATGAAACTAAATGGTAAGTTTCTATGTATTCGTATGTCGTCTCTTGTCCGAGGTCTTTTTCCAATACCGGGTAGTTCTCGTATAGTGCGGAATAGCGGCTCAGATCTATTGAGTCCTAGAGACAATTCAATTAAGTTATTATCGTGTAACATTTTGTCTATTTTCTAATCTATTTTTGGTTAATTCTAAGCTATTAAGGTCTTTATTCGAGACTTATGGTCGCACCAGATGAGTTAGGTCCTTGAGGTTAACTCATAGAGTATTTTCGGATAGGGTACACCGTCTGCTCGTCACGCTATCTTATTTTCAGCCGGATAGATTCGTGCAACTTCTTAGTCTAATACCGATCCTAATCTTACTCTTATATCTACTAGTCTCAGGGTGTTTAACTAGTCTCTGCTAGGCTCAATAGATCTAGAGTATACTGGCTTATTTCGACTGCTGAAGTTCTCTTGGAGAGGTAACTAATTTCTAAGTTAAATTCAAATCTCTCTGGTGCTGAAATTACAACTAATTTCAGCACTTACAAATAAGTGGGTTGTTAGTTAGATGGATTATGATTGGTTAATATCAAATATTTTACAGTGGTAAAATATCTAATTTATCCAATAATAAAATGTAGTTTAGATCAGGTTCCACCTTAATTCTTTAAGTGGCATTAACCTTTTGTCTTTTTGTTACCTCATTTTAAGGTCTAGTCGGGGCAAAAATATGCCCTGAGTAGATCTGAAGGTAGATTGGCTGGCACAGGAAAGACTCGTACCATGCTTTGATTTTCGCTCAGTCAAGTTTGCTTGTAGCAAGCTTTAAGAATGGTGACGCTCTATATAGATAAAAAGCTATTAAGAAACTAACAGCTTTACGGAGCGATTGATGCTGTCGCATTATGGTGGTTATTCTTCAAAGACCACGTAAACCAATTAGTTGCAGCTGATCTATACGCGTTTCACGGCCTGATTTTATTCAGTAGACTATTTTTGGTCAAGTTGCTATCACAGCCAAGAGCTGAATGTTGATTGAGCTCTATCAATTTTTACGGTGCGCTGCAAGTAACCGCCAGTTTTAAAAGAAAGCATAGAAAATAAAGACTTGTATATTTGGTTTGAGAGTTCTCTAACTCTCTCAAACAACGCAGATGTAGATAGCAAAGCGGTATACTAATGGTCCCCTGTAAGACTCTCAATGTCCGCGGCGACGGGGCTAAGACTGTGCTGGTCGTGGGCAGGTTTATGTCTGGCAAGTTCTGCCTCTGCAATGCGCTGGCAGGCCTTCCCCATTATACAGGTGACTTCTTCTTCAGTAATGAACAAATCAAAGAACTCCCTTATCACATGAAAATGGTGCAGGCTCACTTCAGCGGCAATCCCACGAAACGCATCAACATTCTGGATGTGAACGGACTGGAATATCCGATTAAAGCAGACGACGCAGCGGAACTCTCAGAACTGCTCTACAAAGTGAAGGTGGGCTGTGACCAAGTGCATCTCATTCTGTTCGCTGTCAATGGACGCAACCCAGTGCTGGGCCCAGAACGAAAGGACATTCTGCGCCTGCTGCTGGCTCTTTTCGGAGCAGAAATGTGGAAAAAGATGGTTTTTGTGTTCACCAGGTTGTCGATGAGTGCGGAAAACCGTGCCACCAGTGACCAGTCGTACAATGAAGGAGTGAACAATTTCAAAGAAGAGTTGGAAAAACACTGTTGCGCGGGTAGCTCGAATGCCTCATTTGTTAGTGTGCATTCTTGTCGCGATAGTTCTAGTCCCGAGGAGGAGCAGGCTTACCAAGAGGGCATACATACTATTTGGACACTGTTGAACCAGGGTGGGGGGTCATTATGGACCACCAGATTAGACATGGAAAGGAGCAAAGGAGAAGAGAGTAGTCCGCATCAGGATCCACATAGCCGACAGGAGGCGCGCACTTCCGCCATTACACCAAGGCAAGTGACTTAATTCTCAATTGTCCACACGGAAAAATAGATAAACATGGATAACCAGTTATAGTGCAAGTAGTAGAAAAAAACTTGACCACCCCTATTCAAAAAAAATTCAAAGCCAATAAAAAATTTAAAACAGATGCGAAGCTGAGCTTCGCAACACTTGCGACACACTAAAGCTCCAAAAATCAAAAGATAATGTCTCGAACTTGAAAGTTAAAAAACTTGAATGAATTTTGTTGAAAGCCAGAAAATCAAGAAAAAATTTATTGCAAATGTAATAGAAAGTAATTACCTTTAAAACAAAAGAAGGAAAAGGGCTCAATTCTATCCATTGATTTCTGATAATCAATAGATGAAAACGATAAGAAAACAATTCAATAAAAAGGAGATCCATAAATTCCTAAATGTACTCGAAAAGTTTTCATTAAATCTTGCAATCAAACAATCTGCATATCCGACAAGAACAATCGGGGAGAAAAGGCCCTATCCGTTATTTGCTAGTACAAGATCAAAATGAAAAAAAAAAAACGAAATTTAAAATTTCAAAAACATGAAAGCAAAAATTACACACAATTGCCACAGAAAAAACTGGCCACAAATCTGAAAAACTCTGAACGCCTATATAAAAGAATTAAATCAACAATTATCAATTAAGACTTTTATTCAAAATGGTAAAAGATTTAGATCACAACAAAAAAAACTTTAAAAACGCCAAGAAAGAAAAAAATAACAAAACACAAAACGTTTTTTTCAAAACTTTCAGCCAGAAAGAACTAAATTCCTGGATCTCGTGCAAAACTTTTTTGCAGATAAAACAGTCGAGTCAATCTACCAAAAAACATGTGGAAACTTATCGTTTTTTGACATATTGAAACAATACGTTAAACTATCAACTTCAGTCAATTTCAAATGAAATTGCTCAGAACTAAAACACGCCAGTCTAAATAGAAGTTATACTAGCTTCACGAACATTTAGAACACAAAATTCAGAAACAATGCATCCAAAAAACTGAAAATTTTCTTGCAAAAATCATAACAGCAAAAAAATTCCGAAACGTTTTACTTCTAACATAAAATTTTGGCGTCTATAAAAACCAGAAAACCATGAACTGAATTTTCCTTCAAAAATAAAGCAAAAACTACTATAATACTACCTATATTTACAGAATTAATTACCCGACAAGAAAGCACAAAAATTGGGCTGAAATCATTAAAGCCGACGAAAAAATCAACTTACATCTTTTCAAGTGTAAGACAAATATCATTTCAACCGTTGAAGCCAGCTGTTGAATTAAATCAATTAGACGTGCAAGATGGGTAGAAATAGAGATTCACTCGGAGATGAACAAACTTCAATCATCTTGTGGACGAAGTTGTTTACGGAAAAAGGTCTAATACCCGATTGCAATAAATCTGCTTGTCGCAAGGGTGAAAAACGTTTAGAACACACTTAGAATGATTATGGTTTACAGCTATTTTTTATTCAAAGATGGCTCAACTAGGTGAAAAAGAACCAACAAAAGACCTAAAAGAGTGGTCCAAAAACAAGAAATTACTTGATATGCAGGCAAAAAACTTCTTATCCTTGCCTTTAGACCGTTTTTGTTTATAATTTAGGGGGCGTATCGATTAACAAATTGTTTCAATCATGTGTTCAAATAGTCAAAAAACTTTCAGTTTACTTTTTTTAAATGTTGAATATCCTTTTAATTGGTTTACAATTCCTTCCGCCAACATTGTTTCTTTTAGAAAGAAGTACGATATTTCAATGAGAAAAGTTTAGTAAATTTTTAAATAGCGAGAAGTTCAGCGACATGCTAATTGACACACATGCTAAAAATTTCGGTTCAATGGAAAATTTCGACGTCAGGAGGTTTGTTTTCAGTTTCAATTCGAAAATAAAAAAAACTTCTCAAGGAAGTCTTCTCAGCAGAGAAAAACTGGTGTATACTCTTACTGTTCAGTCTCATACTTAGTGAAGAACGGACTCTTTTTCACAATAATGAAAAATTTGTTCCCTTGAAAACGTTAATTCGTTTTAATTGCATAACCTGCCGATTAATCAAAAATCAAACAGTTGTTTAAAAAACATCTTAAGAAAATTTTTGCTTATATCATTCAAAAACGTATTGTTTTCTAAAAATTGTTTTTCCAAATACCTGTTTTACTTAACCTTTTGTCCAATCCTAATCCAATTTCCAATATGAGAAAAACGCGTTAAAAAATTTCCAATGTTATTCAATAGTCCGGATAAAATAAGTCAGCTCTGTACAATTTAAATAATTCTATTTCACTTTTGAAATGCGCGAAAAAAGATTGAACTTCACATTGTGGTGTGCCTCAAGAGTCTGTTTCAGGGCACCAATTACTTTTTTATCAGCAACAATAAATTGTCAGTGAAGTCTCCCTACTCGAAAATTGCAAAAGTTTCATTTTTTAAGTAGATTTGTTTTCTAATGAATAATTTTACCATTTTTTTAAGATTTAAATCTGAAACTTTGAATGTATTTTCAATACACTTTATTGCATTTATGCAAAGTTTTTTCTCCAGCAAATGAAGTGTTCTTGCTTCTATTTCTTTGTTTTCGTTTTGGGTTGATTGTCAGAAAAGAATTAAATGAGACCCACAAATTTCATAGTTTTTTAAAGAGTTTTGCGCGTTCAGCGTGTTCATGAGTTCATTCTAACCAAGAAAAAATGATTATTTCGTATTTTTTCAAACTTAAAAAAGTCAATAAGAGCCAACTTAGTTTAGGGGAAAAACAGCATTATAGATGCCACAAAGGAGTTTTCTAAAATTGTCAAAGTGAAATTACACTCCAAGCAAAAAGTTGACAGTACAATAATTGAGTTTTAAAAAGTTTTCAACATCACTTATCGTGATATATTTTCTTTAAAATGTGCTCTGAATGGCATGCGAGGCCAATTGTTTAGAACATCAAAGTCCCATTTGAGTGAAAGAAAGCATTATGTTCATGTTAACGAATATTTCTCTGAAACTGAACTTCAGATTGCGGTGTGCTTCAAGAGTCTGTTTTAGGGTTCAAAAAATTTATCATTTACATCATTGATTTGTAAATTAATTTACAACGCAAACAAAAACACACATACAAACATACAACACAAACTTTAACAAAAAGCAAAACTCGAACAAACGTTTTAAAGTTTGAAAAAAAACTAGGTGAACCAAATTTTTGCCATGTCTCGATACAACAAAATTAGGGGCACAACTAAAGCTGGAGGTAAGTGTTTGATATTGAATAAACTTGCTACTCTCATGTGGCACAAAAAAGTGATTTCACAAATTAGACTTTGTTCAAAACTTAGTCTACTAAAATAAGTGAGAACAGTAGAAAAAAATTACCAAGATAACATTTCTCTAGCATTTTTTTAAAGAAGCGGCTTCTTCAAGAACAACTATCAGAGCCAGTTCTTTCAAATGAAAAAATTTTGAAAAAAATTTAAAAAAAGCTAAAAACGGTCAAAAATTCTAAAGCACGGTCAAAAGACATTGCCAAAATCCATTTATTTTTCCTGTAAAAAGCAGGCTGTGGCCGCTTGAGCAGAGACGATTGTCACAACCGGGTTTCTCCGTTGAACACAACCTAATAATTGGCACAGCAGTTTTTGCGTTAAGTCACAAAGTTTCCACAAAGTTAAAGGATCAAAACATTGACCTGTTTTAAGGCAATAACTTTTATCTTAAGCAAACAGGGCATAGCCAAGTATAAATATAAGCTTTCAACATCATGTTGTTTACGTTAAACCTATGATTTTATATTTGGCAGGTCAGTTAGCGGGAAAAATCCAAAAAACGGCCAACAAGTCAAAAATTTTGTCATTTTCGATAATCAGATAATAAGAGTATTTTCGAGAATATTCCACATGTTTAAGAACGGCCAATAATCGAAAATTTGATTTTCCGAGTGCGATAATTTTTGATGAAAAAAATGTGCTGGCCGCTAATGCACATGAGTTTCCCACTGCCCATTATTTCTATTGAACTTAAATAATCAGATTTTAGAGGTTATTTTTTGAGAAAAGTCAAAACGGTTCACAAAACGGTCAGAAAAAAATGACTGTTCTGAAGGCCATAACTTTATATGAAAAAAAAACTGGACAGCCGCTATTGAATGGATCTCTTCAAAGTTGTTGTATTCATTGAAAGCAAAAATTCACATTTGAGAGGGGTAGATTTCGAGAAGACTTAAAAAATCAAAATCATCTGTCAAATATTCCCCCTCAGACTTTTTCGAAAGCTAAAGACAGAGGGGTCAAGTAAAAGAGACTCTAAGGGAGTATAATGGCACACAATTGAGTAGACGGTCTTTCGTTTGATACCCCTTTTCTGAAAATCAACAGAAATTTCTTAGAAAAACTAAAAATTTTCCAATGAATTAAAAATAGGAACTTTCAACAAACCGATTGGTAAATATGCAACCAATTTGAAAAGAGCAAAGGGGGTGTTAGAATAGTGTTTTGCTATAAACGACCCAAAATTCAGTAAATGAGCCGATAAAAACAAAGAAATAAATACGAAGTCAAGGTAAGTAAAATTACAAATTGTAGGAGTAAATCAAACACTAAAAGCAACTCTAAAGAAAACAGCGCGCAGCAAAAAAAAACAATTTCAAGATGTAACAACTAAGCTTAGAGTAAATAATCAGACAAATAATTGGCCGGCAATTTTAGTTGAAACATATTATTTCCCATTTGAAAAAAAAACAGGTCCTGGTCAGATTCGAACCCAGAACCTTTGCCGTCCTAAGCATATTCGTTACTTCCACGCTAAGTCGGCCGGGAACGTATGGAATGTTAAATTCATTATGAATGAAGATATAGGTGATTCGAGTGGTTCTGTTAAACAAGTTGCTACCCCAAAAAAAAGTATGTACTCCGGTTTGATAACGCTTGCTAATCGCCAGCGTAAAATTAGAAGTTCAAAGTCAGTATCTATTTTTCATCAATTAAGTTTATAATTTCATCAAATACGCTGTTTATCACTATCGAGTTTTTTTTTTAATGTAACAGCAAACAAAAAAGATTCAATGAACCTAGAAAAACAGCAAAAGCTAATTAGGAAAAAAACTGTTTCAAACTGAGCAAATATGATTGTATACGTCACTTTCTAGACCAGCAACTCATTGCAAAAAAATTGATTAAAGTTATACGGAGATATATTAATTTGGAACTGATGATTATTATTACGGAGAACTGCCCTATTTGAGGAAACTATCAAAAATAATACTGAAAACGTTTAAGAAATACTAGGAAAAAACTTAGATGCCATACTAAACACCCCACAAATAAATGATCGTTACCCGGGTTAGGACTATCTACAACTATTTTTTGATGATGGATTGCAGCATTTATAAAAAAGTTCATTAATTGATGAGTCTTATGTTGATGATTACATACACACGCTAAGCGATCTGTATGTTTGTGATGATGAAAACGCACGATCTTCTTTGGTGACTTCTACGCTAACTATTTGTATGTAGATGTTGAAGCTTTTTAAATTTTTTTTCTAGCGAGAGGAAACTGTTTGCTCATAGAGGTTCGACTCTACAGGCAAAGTTGCCTTTTTTCAACCCTCTCAAGAATTTTAAGGTAGTAGACTTTTACCGATCGTTTCACCAACGGATTTTGGGAAGACGACCTCCCATCCCTTAGGGATTTGACCCCCCTGCTGACCCAATGTCCCCTCTTTGTACTATTTTGCGCTATCCATTATTGGCTGACGGACCCTAAAATTTTCAGAAGGCGCCTTTGGCGCCAAAATATACTAATTTTGAGGCGGACCGCGTGCCGAAAAAACTCGCTCGTTTTTTTAGTCAAAGCTTTCCAAAAAGTGCCTAATACTTTTTTAAAATTCGCCTGCGGCGCAGAAAATTTGGTCAAATTAAGGTCTTTTAGTGTCCTGACAAATATCAGAAAATCAAAGTGGTCGACCTAAAAAAACAGATCGACAAAATGTTTTAAATAAATTTGTCATATTGTGAAAACAATGAGGTTCTTAAATCTCAGGCAAGTGGGACTCGCATATAATTTAGATGCGGTAATCATCCATCATAACGTAATTTTTTGTTCAGATTTTTACAACAGAGACTTGATAGTTTATCTGCTCAACTGGTGAGAGCACTAGCTGGACAAGAGCAAATGAACAAGGAACAAGTGAAGCGAATCATGGATTCAGTGGACAAGGAGCTGCAGTCAGAGATTGAAGCATTCTACTGCAGCCCTGCAGACTGTCCTCCCAGTGGTTCCAAGTGCGAAGCCAGCAACCCATCATCTCCCAGACAAGTCTCCAAATTTCTGGAGAAAGTTGAGGAAAGCAGCGTGTGTGTCAACTCTCTCATGCTAAAAGATGTCTTTGTCAGGAACAACATGATCGGTGTCGTCGTTAATAATGTGCGACACTTGCAGAATTTTGCAAGTGAGACTAAAAATCCCGAGCTACAGAGTTTACAAACAGATCTGTTAAACATTAAGGACAATGACGTCAGCTTAGGAGTGTCTCTGAAAGTGTTCCTAAACGGGGAAGGAGACGCCAAGTCAAAGTTCGTCTCCCTATTCCTCAAAATATGCTCGGGCGAGGATCGCAGCTACACCATCTCTTTTTTCATGAAGCCAGCCACTGCTCATGAACACGTGGAGAAGAGTGTAAAAGTCCAAGGTTGCAAAAGCCAATCAACTGAGGTGGGCGTGCGACAGTTCATCAAAAAGCACGAACTGTTCGATTACCTGGAAAACAACTCGATTATGTTCGGAGTCAAGGTCAAAGCCTGTCCACAGGTGGGAGTTCTATGAACAAACACCCACAGATTAATCATTTCATCACAGCGGAACGGTCATACCAAACTGACTACGAGAAATTGGGGCAGGGTCGCATAGCATGTCAGTCATTTAGCATACTCCAAATTTTTTTTTAATCAAAAAGAGTATTGATTACCACATACTTATCTTGTTCAAAAACGCATCACACTTTAACATACTTAATTTTTTTCATTTTTCGTATAGTTTTATTGTCCACTTCAAATGAAAAAGTAATTCACCTGAAAGATGTTTCAGTTATTTGCAGTGAAAACTAAATTTTTGGAAACATTTCATATCGAGTTACAAAACAAAGCAGGCAGACGACTGGTATGCTAATTGGACCAACCTCAAAAATTGTGTATAAAACTGAATTGTGATCATCGTGACTCAATATCGAAACATATGTCGAATTGAGTAGGGTTCTCATGCTTGAAGGGCCAAATGCTTGAAAAGTTTCTACCAATCAAAATCGCTAAGCGTTTCTATTGGCTAAATGCCTTTCTCACAAAATCGAGGTCAATATTAACAGAAAATGTATTAAATCAGTGGAAAATAATCAAAAATTTTACAAATTGCGGGTTACAACCGCAATACTATTCAGATAATCATCAAGATTAATGATTTCAAAATTAAAAGAATTTTTCAGTCTTGAAAACTCATCTGCTTATTAACTAATCGGTCAATATTAACACTAATGGCCTGGATTTAATTTCTTACTTTGAGATTTTCGCAATTTACTTTGAGATTTTGAATACTCGATTCTGATTGGCTGAAAGTAAGCTAAAATTAATTTCACGCATTCGGTCCTTCAAGCATGAGGGACGCCACCATTAACAGCTGTAGTTTGTAAATTTTAGTTGATAATTGCAACTCTGAATCAATATTTTGTAAGAGTCTAATGAAAACAAGCCGTCGGAACTTTAGGCCGAATTTTAAGCGTTTGTAAAACATTAAAACCTTGGAAATATTATGGTAGTTAGTAATTGTTAAGCCAATGTAGCTCATTGACGCTGTGTTCTGCAACAATGCACTATTGGAGGATGACCTTCAGTAGCACATTTAGGGGGGGGGGTGTTAGTGGATTCGACCCCCTGTCGACCCAAAAGTGTACCCCTTTGTATTATTTTGAGAGATCCATTATTGTCTGACTGACCTTAAAATTTTTTAAAGGCCCCTTCGGCGCAATCTATACTAAATTTGAGGGGAGAGCGGCCGCCGAAAAACGCGATTTTAAGGTCGAAATTTTCTAAAGAGTGCCTAAAAACGCTTTTTTTGGCCTTTTTTCTGAAACTTTGCTTGCGGCGGAGAAAATTTGATCGAATTAAGGTCTATATAGTGGTTTGGGAGAGCTGCAAAAAACAGACCGAATTTTAAAAAAAATTTTGAAAATCCGCCCCCTCGCCTCGAAAAATTCCTAGATCCGCGCCTGATGGCCTTACTTCGATGCATCAGCCGTTTTTGAAATGCTTAAAAGCAATAATTATTCAGCTGTGTTTTTACTCGTTGTAGGACACTTCCTAAACCTGAGCAAAAACAACGGTAATTTGTAATACAAACAACAATAAAAACAACAGTAAAAATCAAAACAAATTTTTTTTTCAAGACAAAACTTATAAACCTACATTGTATGAAAACGTACGTTTACAAAAAAGTTAGCTTTGGGAGAATACCAAAAAGGCATCAACCTGTCGGGTGGCATCTCTATGAGCAAAATTTATTCGTCTACTTTTTTAAACTAAGATCATATAGACAAAAAGACCGAAAAATTTCTTCAAATATTACAAAAAAGCTAAAAGAGAACAAATTCAGTTTGTTTTGGTGTTGTAAAAAAAACTATAGCAAAGAGAATGAAACTTACCATAATATACTTATTATAAACTCGTTGTCAGAAATATGTATGTCTCTTAAGTTACGAAAAAAAACAAATTCAATGATTCATTGGTAGTTAATGACGCTTCAAGAAGAATAATTTTATCCAACTATAAGAACTTATTATACAAAAAACAAATCCTATTTCCAATTTTCTTTTTTACTCTTGTAGTAAGCGTACTTCAGCCGCGAAGTGTTTTTCCTGTATTGCCTTTTTTGGTAGTACCTGTAACTTCCTGTTCACTTATGTATTTATGGAGTTTTTTTTTCCACAAGATCGTCTTATAATTATAACCATGAGTTTCAAAAGCTCATATACATTTAACGTCGAATCAAAAAGAGAGTATTTGTTTGTCCCGGATATAAATCAGTCATTCTCACTGCTTAATTTAAAAACAGTTCCTCCACACGAATCATTGCTTGCTTTCTAATTTTTTAAAGTCTATCTTATTAGCTGTGCCATAGATCAGTACACCATATTGATATATTGGTTGAATATACGTCTTATTTATCTTGAGCAGGTAGATGTGTGAAAATAATATCTGAGTTGATAGATCATCGAGCAAGATTTGGCTGTCCTTTTCAAAGTTTTATCGATGTGGTTTTCAAATTTAATTTTTCATCAATTACAAAACCTGAGTACTTATGGCATCTATTATTAGAGAATTTTTTCCTGTTAAAATCTAAGGTGGCTGTTTAATCTTTGTTTAAGGTAAGCTTGTTCTCCAAAAACAATTTTTCAACCTTGCTTGTATCAGATTTCACCTGCTGCTGATGTCCTGTTTTAGTTGTAGTTTACAATGCGCAATCATTAACAAACAGTAGAACTTTATTAAGCCTACAGACCTTCGGCAAATCAATTATATATAATAAAAACAACAAAGGACCCAGGACTGGACCTTGTGGTACACCAAAGTAGATTGTTTTAGTGTCTGATAATGAATTTTTATAAATAACGTACAGTTTACGATTTTCAAGGTATGACCTCGAAAGACCTCGTAAACCGTATAAGTCGAATTTTTCCAGAACTATCTTGAGATGAACTGTAACGCTTTTGTAACAACAACAGCGTTCAATACAGTTAATCACAAAATAGATAACAACAACAGTAACAACTGAGTATTTTTTGCAATTTTATTTCAAACTATAAAAATTTGTCAAACATTTCCAGCAGTTAGAATTATACAGTTGAAATTCCTTGGCTTGATCGACACTAATTCCTAAGAAAACTTTCGCTAAAACGACAATAATTCTCACGCTGCAGATGGCGTAAAAAACACACTTTCTTCCTTTGTGCTGACAAAACCATTCAACACTGATATTTTTCTTAAAGTTATATATATATATAGGCTTAAAGTTAAAGCTCTTTAAATTTCTATGAAAATTTGTGAATGCCACTTGTTTGATATAATTATCATAATTTGAGAAAACTGGATCAAAATGTAAATTTTTTATTCCGCTGGAAAAACGTAAAACTCAGCTCCACTTTCGAAACTACGCAGATAGATACCCTTCTGCTATTCGATAGCGGAGTTTGCCCTCCTTTAAACAAAAGAATGGAACTGATCTTAAATGAAAAAAGGATTTGTTTTTTTCAAATGTTTTTTGGAAGGCAGTTGAACTTATTCATTTGTCTGAGTAACTAGTTTTTACTGATTGCGATTACTATCTGATTGCAACTACTATAGATATTTTAGCATAAAAATAAGGCGTTCGCAGATCATGTACTCGATTCCGTCATGGCGAGGATAGCGTGCGTAACGAAGAGAACGCACTTGACCTCAAATCAACCACAGAATGACCGATTTCGGCTTAAATAGTAATATCACATTTAACTTCCAGTGACAAAAACAGCCCTGGGTCGCAAAAAGAACATCGCTCAAAATAAACTTGCTGTATCGTGAAGAAATAATACAAAACTGACTAATCACGGACAGGCTAGAATTTTACGTCTTGTAAAATTTAAATGTCGAAACACATTCGGATTCTCGTAAAACTTCCATGTCGAAAGGTCAGAACTGAATTTTCTATGCCCTACCATAACTTACACAGAGGCAGAGCTGCGCTTCGCAAACACTTGCGATAACACGACCAAAAAGCAGCTGTCAAGTGAAATAAGAAAAAGAGACTCGAATTAGCGAAACCTCGGCTACATGTCGGATTCGAATCTGCGACCTAGCAAACTTGAGTCTCAGGCACTAACCACTCAGCGACGGATGCTTAAAATTCCAAAAACTATCCATCAATAAAGAAGCTATATATGCTAATAAACTGCCAATTCGATGCAGCAAAGGTAGCAGCAAATACAAAAAGACACAATTTTGCATGTGATATATTGGAAAGCATAAAGCCAAATTATGTATAAATTATGCATTTAAAAAAAATTGCGAGATAAATTGAGTTGGAAAAATTCTGATATCGATCTTTTTATCATTGTACTACTGTTTGAAACAAATAACTTTTTTCGGTTCATTTCATGAATTAAAAATTTATCAGCTCTGTTAAATTTTTACTAATCAAATGCCAAAGCACATATGATATTATACTGCTACCGCAGCCTACCGATTCAAAAGTGCCAACAAAAGTAGCACTTTTATTTGCGACTTAGGTTGCAAAAAAAGAAAGTTCGTACAAATTCACTATGCTTCGCAAGTGTAAAAATGTCGTGAACGTCAATGAAAACTCATGAAAACAGATGGTTTGCGGTGGGATAGCTGGAAATTTCAAAACTAAGAAAAATTTGGAAAAAAAATTAGGTATCTCTGGGGAGTAAAAATACAATTACGACTTTCAGTGCAAAAATTATTAGTTGATCAGCTAAGAGAATTTCAAGGGCAAGTAATTAAAACGAACTTGCTGTTTTTGAATTTTAAATTTTGGTCGCAAAGAACAAAAAAGCTGCTAGATTTTCGCGGTGCAGACAATTGAAGGTCAATAATAAACAAGAGACGCAATCATTTCAATTTAGGTTGATCGTGAACAATGAATAAAACAGCGAAAAAGTGAAATAAACTAATAAGTGACAAAATGAATGAGGGAAAAACAACGACAGCCGACAGTTTTTTAAATTAAAAAAACCCTTGGCCAAAGTTACTAAAAAAAACCATAATAATCAAAGAAATGTTTTCGGGCAGGTACAGCTGTAGAGCATTGAAATATTTACAAATCACATAGACAAATGTATTGTCTAGGAGGCCATCATTGCATCTACTGTCCATAAACAGTATTCTCAGGCCAGACTGGTCGGAATCATTTTACGGCGAAATCAAGTTTAACATTAGTAAATGTACTAAGGATGTGTTTTATAGTTTCTCGATTGGTTCTTTGACTCCATGAATAACAACAGCACTCGGGGCTCCTCCAACCTACTGCATGCAATCATCTTCCAGTCGTTTGATTCTTTTTTATGTTTAAATGATGAAAATGTGGAGTGCACTATTCCTGTTCTCACTCGAATTGGTTGATGGCTGCCCAGCTTAGCTAAAAAACATCAAATTTAGACATTTGCTTATATTTTCTTCTATCATTTGTTCATACTGTCACGCGTGATTCCCTTGTTAGCGACAAATTGCTTTATCCCCTAGAAAAAAAACAGTTTGAACTAGAAAAAATGTTTTCACAATAATTTTTTTTCCAATTCAGTCATCCTTAACTATTGTTGAAAACATGTGTCAAATTACAGAGGCGAAGCGGAGCTTTGCACAACTTGCGATACATCTTAATATTTAAAAAAATGAGTCGAAAAAAAAAAGAAAATTGTTGAAAAACACTAAGTGAACCAAAATGAAGACAGCTAGGACCCAGCTAAAGCTGGAGAAACTGTTTGATATTTTTGAATTTGTTACATTGACACGGCACGAAAAGCGTAATTTCAAAATTTCAATAATTAGATTTGTTACTATAAATAAATGAGAAGAGTGAAAATTTTTGAGATTTTGGAACTTTACCAAGACATATCATTTCTTTTACAAAAAAAAGGAGTAGCCAAGAAAAAAATGGGCGAAGCAAATTGAAAAATTAAGCTTCCAACAACCTGTTGAGTCAATTAAGCCGATGGTATCAGATTTGGCAGAGTAGTTATCGCGAGAAGTCCAGAAAACGGTCAACAAAAAGTTGTCCCAAATCTAATTCCGATTGAACCCAAACACCCGGGTTTGGCAGGGTAGTTCTCGAGAAACAAACATTCAGAAAACGGCAAAAAAAAACGAAAATTTTGACTTTTCTGAGGGCCATAATGTTTTATGTCAAAGAATTTGGGCGTAGTCGCATTTGCAAAGAATGTCCCACAACCCGTTTTTTGGATTGAACCTAAATTCTAAAACATGCAAGGGTAGTTTTCGAGAAAATTCAAAATTTAAAAAAAAAACGGTCAAAAAGTAAAAAAAAATATTCTGAGGATGATATCTTTTCGTGTAAGAAAAATTGAGGGTGGCCGCGAATGTAGGAGAGCTTCCCACTACTCGTTATCTCCATTGAACCCAGAAAATCAGATTTGAGAAGTTAGTTATCGAAAAAATTCGAAAAGATTCACACAATAGTCAGAAAACAACAAATTCACTATTCCGAGGGCATAATTTTATGTGTAAAAAAAGTAATGTGAGCTTTCGATCTGACCACTGAAGCCAAAATCCCAGAAAATAGAAAAAAAACCAATGCCATACATTTTCAAAATACTAGTTTTTATCAAACAGGAATTCCAGGCAAACAAGCCAAACAAAAAAATTCGAAATTTAAACAAAGAGGCGAAGCAGAGCTTCGCATTACTTGCGATACAACACAAACATAAGAAAAACATGAGTCGAAAAACTTATAATTTTTCAAAAACTATGTGAAGCAAAATTTTCGTATGTCTCGATTAAAAAAACCTAGGGCCCAGTTACATCTAGAGGAACGTGTTTGATATTGAATGAATTTGCTAGACTGATGCAGCACAAAAATTTGATTTAGAAAATTGGATTTTGCACAAAACCTTATTTGTTTCTCTATTAAAATAGGTGAGAAAAGTAAAAATTTTAAGAGAAGTCAATTTTCCCAAGGAGATAACATTTCTCTTACAAAAAATTAGGTAGTCGAATCTTCTGCAGGAACAATTATCGCAACTGGTTCAATCAATTGAACTTTTCATCTCAGATTCGATTGGATAAGTTCTAAGAAAATTCCAAAAATTTCCAAAACACGATCACAAGTTCTAAAGCACGGTCAAAAGACTTTCCCAAATCCATAATTTGTTTCTGTAAAAAGCTGGTTCGGGCAACTTAAGCAAAGAATATTCCCAAAACCGGGTTTTTCGATTGAACACAACCTGAAAATTGGCACGCTAGTTTTCGCGTAAAGTAAAAAAATTACCAAAAAAACTGTCAAAGTTTCAAAACTTTTTTCTTTAAGAAACAGGGCATAGCCAGATATTAATGTGGGCTTTCAACATCATGTTGTTTCGGTGAAACTTATGATTTCATATTTGGCAGCTCAGTTAGCGAGAAAAGCGCAAAAAACGGTCAACAAACCAAAAATTTGTCATTTTCGAGAATCACAGATTTTTTGTGAAAAATATAAATTAAAAATGTCAAATTAAAACAAGTCAAACAATCAAAAATCTCAAAATCAAAACTGTGACCTAACCAAGGGCCATAACTTTAGGTGCCAGAAGAAATTGGGCGTAGTCACATGAGCAAATGAGCATCCCACAACCCGTTCACTGAATTGAACAAAAAATCTCAGATATGGCAGAGTTCTTTTCAAGAATATTCAAAAAGCTTAAAAGTAATCAAAAATTCAGTATTTCCGAGGGCAATAACTTTTTCTGTAAAAAAACATTGTGAGTGGACCCTAATGTAGGGGAGCTTGCCACTGCCCGACTGCATAATCATATGTGATTCAACTGATTTGGTTAATCTAGTTGTTAACCGGGAACCCTGTGTTTAATTTCTACATAGTGCACCTTAGTTCTGAAGTCGAGAGAAGTGTTGATTTGCAGCTGATCAGAGGAGTATCTGGTCCACAGAACAGAACTCCACTCAGCACACACTCTGTGTAATCTGTGACATGTCATTGACACTCTTAACACACTACGCCAGTCCACATTCTCCAAAATCCTAATCTGAGTTGAGTGGAGTGAAGGAAAAACAGCAGCCAAATACCCATTCAATTAGTAGCATCAGTCACGGCCAATAAAATTAAGCAACAAGATTGCAAAAAGTATACAGAGCTGAAGCTGCGCTTCGCGCCTATTGCGACATAAGTTACATGCCCGCAGTAGCGGATTTAGGGGATTCGACCCTCTGCCGACCCATAGGGTCCCCATTTGTACTATTTTGAGATATCCATTTTTGGCTGATTGACCTTAAAATTTATCTAAAAACGCCTATGGCGCCAATCTATACTAATTTTGAGGGGAGAGTGGTCGCCGAATAAACGCGTTTTTTTGATCGAATTTTTCCAAAAATTGCCTAAAAACGCCTTTTTCCAAAACTTTCCTGCGGCACAGAAAATTTGATCAAATTAGGGTCTTTATAGTCGTTTGGGAGAGCTCAGAAAATCAATTTGTTCGACCTAAAAAAAACTCGACAAAATTTTCGATTTTTTTTGAAAATCCCCCCTCGAGAAATTCTTAGATCCGCGCCTGTGTGCCAGTGTTCTAAAAATAATCATTGTTCACAAAAATAACTGCTAAAACGCCACAACTTCGAATTAAATACAACACGAGCTATTAACAAAAAAATAAAAAGTTCATTAAAGACCTTTTGCAATCAGTTCAACAAATTTCGGTCCAATTATAATAGAACTCTTCATTTATTGCGTTCCTATATGAAGAAATGATTAAATATATATAATTATAACTTCGGCTAAAATCAACCTAATTTTAGCAAATTATATAGAAGAAATTAATTATACATTAGAGATATTCGAATGTCATAAAAATAATCTTTCAAAATAACATTCTTGAAATTTGAAAAACTATACTCAATTCAGAAACGTTTGGGCTGTCATGTGCTTTCATTCATTGCTTCTTAATTATTGAAGGTCAATTTGAAAGAATAAAAACGAAATTGTGAAATTTAAAAACCAACAACCAAAGAAAATACCACAAAAAATGAAAACTCTTTACAAAAATTTGATCAATATATTTAATTTCTCAAAACTTTTGGCAATATCTGGAAAAGTAGTTTAGTGTGCGTAAAAATTGTAGTGAGTATAAAAACCAAAAATCTATGAAATTTACTTACGCATCTCAAAATTAAATAGGAAAACTAAAAACAATAACAGAAAACATTTTGTGAAAAAACTCTGCAAGTAAGCTCACGGAAAATATGACTAAATCCACAAAAAATCGACAAAATCAAAATTAATTGCAAAGCTATATTTGCAATTTTGGCCCCGGATACAGTAGCAAAAAATGAAGAATACAGAAGCAGAAATATGACCAATAACGCTACTGGGAAAAACTGAATCAGTAGAACTATGAGTCTACCAAGTTTTTTAAGTGACGCACGCCAATTATGACGCATTAGCCGTACCAGTCAATTTGAAAAAAAATTACCAACTAAAAAGCCTCAATTTATAGAGCGGACGCATTTTGACTGGTAAACGGAAAGTTCATTAAAAACATCCGACCCTACCCACGTTCCAACCCTCCTATTTCTACTAAGTTCTATTTGTAATATAATAGTCTGTGTTAATATCGTTAGCATTGACTGTACCTAATAGCTGGCTATTGATCAAAATGAACACTTTTAAAATGAACACATCTTGTCGCAACAATACTTGCGCCGCAACAATATTTGCGACTTAGGTTGGAAAAAAAAGAGTTCATACTATATGACAAGCTTATCTTGTGTACATAACATGACTAAAATTGGAGATGACCACTGATTCTAGTCATCCTGCGAACAAGATCGTCCACTGAAAAGTCTAGTATCCGGTTGCGATATCCTTGCTTATCGTCAAGGGAAAAAAAGCAGTAAACTCTCAGGACTGCAAGAAAATTGAAAAGGTAGGAAAACATTTTATCCCTTCAAACTTGTTCAATTTATGTGCGTAATTCCAGAACGTCTCACAACTTTCAAATCATAATTGAACGGTGCATACACAAAACAGTCCCATACAAAACAGTCCAATACAAAATAGTCCCAAAAATCATGTAATGGAGGAAAAAAACAGTCCAATACAAAACAGTCCGGTTTAAGGTCGCCGGTGGGCTCGCTGCGCGCGCGTCGCTGCTTCGCGGCGATAACCGGTTTTAAATTTCGTATTAAGTCCTTACCCTCTGTTGGCAAGCTCGCAACACGTTGGAGCGACTGCGGCGGTCACTATTTTGTTCATTATGCTTTTTGAACAAAGGACAATTCTCGGCCTGCCGGCTTGTCAAAACAATTATTAATTGGGACTGTTTTTCGGACTGTTCTGTATTGGACTGTTTTGTATGGTACTGTTTTGTACAGACAAGAATTGAAAAGATTAGCAAAATAACTAGAAGCAAATAATTAAGCAATAATTAAGCTACAAGTAATTATTATAAGTATCTGAGCACAAAATTAAAGTAATAATGAAGCAAAAAGCAATCAGATTCACTCACTAGCATCTCATCTGGACATGCCAAAAGTCCAACCACTCCTCGACCACCTCCAATTGCTGCAACAAAAACAAGAGTAGCCAGTTGCTGCTGAGCAATTAGAACACAACACTACCACTAGTTTTCCTGGCAAAATAGTTGAAAAACGAAAAAATAATAATTTTTAATGCTAAATTTTCACAGTGGAATGATTGAACGGAAGACTATACACAGAATCCGAGCTGCAATTCGCAAACACCAGCGAGGAAACGGCAAAAAATAGCTGGAAAACGGTCAAAAAGGTTGCTGTGATGGAATCAAACCACCGACCTCGCGATTAAAAGTCACATGTTCTATCACCTGCGCCATGGTCGCTTAAAAATCGTCCAACACTGGCCAGCAGAAAATGAGACCCAAAGATAAAAAGCTATAGAGCAAACGATATAAATGCTGTAAGACCAACCAAATGAGCACTTTTATTTCGGTCGGAAAAAATATATTTTCGTAATATAACACAATGCTCGCTAATTTGCTTGTGTACAAATGATTTTGAATGAGATAAGTAATTCAATTTTAAAAAATCTAAATTACGAGTCAACGTCGGACAAAAAACTAGCTAAAGCACAGACCCTTCTGGTCAGTTTGTGACGTAGTCGTAGAGGTTAAACTATCATTTTCAATCATAATCATTCTCAGTCATGGATGCAAAATAGGTGCAAACTTAGACACAATAGAGTTGTTGCAATTAAAATAAGCTATTGTAAGCCTTCTCGCTCGCTTTACTCGCTCGACTTTGACTAAAATCAAAAATTTTGAACCAGTTTTTCTCAATTTTTAGAATTTTTTTATGTTCAAATCACGACTGCAAGGGATTTAACATGACATAGATTATGTCGTAGCTGATTTTGCAAGGGAAACAAAAAAAAATCAAATAAACAAACCCGAATAAAAAAAAACGATAAGCAAAATATGCACAATCGACTACATTTGTCTTCGAAAAATGGCTAACAAAACAAACGAAAATCAAATATTTTTATTTAAAAAAATTATTGTCAAGGAAGCTCTTTACTCACTCGAAATTAGACTAAAAGACAAACAATTAAGAGCCTTTTTCTCGACAATGAGAAAATTTTACTATGAACCATTCTATGTCATTCAATCACGATTGAAAGGGCTTTAATTTGATATATTGTGCGACCCATTCTGATGATTAATTGCAATATCTGATTTCAAGCGGAAAAGTTTTTTAAAAAATCAAGTCCACAGACTATATTCCTCTCCACGATCAGTGGTCTGAGACATAACGATATCTTCGAAGTCTAGTTTCACAACGCTACTAACTGCAAGAATTACAAAAAACGCCGGTGATCATCTACTGACAAGGTTTTTAAGCAAAGACTGCTGCTGTGCAGATTTCACAAACAACTCAACTACAACCTGAACTAGTTACGCACCCAAGTGAATACAGTTGAGCATGGTTGCACGATATCCGTCCCACCAATCACGGAGCTTGTCAGTTCCTGCTAACGCCAACACTACACCGGGTTCAGATGGTAGAAAACATGACTATTGAAGACGTGCATGTAGGAATGTTCTCACCTGATACATTGATAGTTTCACGAGCCAACAGTCTTCCATTTTGGTGAACTAGAAAACAAAACACTGTAGAAATTTACATGGGTAACAAATTAGTCCGTTCACCATCATTAATATGTCGCAACTTGTTTCGCCATGTACTCATCTGATCGCTCCTTATTCATTAAATATGCTTGCTAAAAGGTAGAAAATGTAGAACCACTCATGTTCACAGCCGATCGAGACTTCAAATTATTTTCCAAAGCAACTGCAATTGAGACTCCAGGCGGAACCTCAATGCATTGGACACTACTTTTCATACTTACTTTTCAAACTATAGATGCTTAAATGAGTTTGATGCGTGGCAACCAACAAAAATAAGGTAACATTTCGCCAACACACAACAATATCGATTAGTCAAAAAATCACTTCCTTAATCAGACTGATCAATTTGAGAAATATGAGCCAAAAAATGACTTTATAATTTGCTAAGAATTCTGAAAATTAAATCGACTTAGAAATTTATTGCACCATTTGCCTTTTAATTACTGGAAAAAATTATGGGACGTACAAAAAATTGGGACGTAAAGAAAGAAAGAAAGAAAAAACAAAACGAACGACCCAAAAACGTGGTATTAATTCTACTTCCAGAATCAGAACTACCACAACCTTTTCCTCTTTGTTTACGGAATCCATTATTTTTTACTTAATATGAAATCATGTTAGCGATATTTGTTGACATCGGTTGTCAACTTATTGTTTTTCAACGCGCGTTTGAGCAAACCTTGTCCCAAAAGTGGTGTCACTTGAAGCAGTAACAGACATACCTGTGAGGAGGTAGATTTGTTCTGTCATCTTCAATAAGTGCAACATACACTCTGTTCCCACAGTGGGTGACTTCATTTCGGGACTCCCAATCAACTGCACTTTCACAAGGTGCTCATTTCTCAACAGAACCTGTAGCAGACTTCAAACTTTAAGTTACAACGCACTTTATGGGAAAAACTAATAAACTTCTTCCGGCAATTGTTTTTAGTTAACCAGCCAGAGGACTAACCCGAAAATTAACTATTTAGGTTTAACTAAGCTATGGTTATCTTACAAGAGCTCACCTTGTAAATTGCAGCGCACGTGCGATTTGAACCCGCTAGCATCTGATTGCTGGGAATCATCACTACCGATGCACCATAACACCATACAATACGATACTTGCAATTAATAGGATACTTGCCTGAGAGTACCCTGACAGAGCCTCACTACAGAGACGGTATTTCAACTTTTGCGAAATTTTTTTTACCTACGTTTACTGAAAAATTTTAAAAATCCTAAAAAAGTCATATCTCGAAAAAGACAAGAAATTGAGCAGCCAATTTTAGAGGTATGGTTCGCAACTCCCTGAGAGTACCCACTTAGATTCCAATAACCGGATTGAGATTTTCAAAATTTTGAAATTTTTTAATATTTAAATTTTTTGAAAATTTTGGATAAAATCAGAAAAAACTTCATATCTCGAGAACTACAAGGATTTGAGAAGTCATTTTCAGCGGCGAAATTCGCAATTCCTGAGAGCACCCTGACAGAGCCTCACTACAGAAATGGTATTTCAAATTTTGTGAAATTTTTAATATCCAAAATTTCTGAAATTTTTTTTAAAAAATCCAAAAAAACGTCAAATCTCGAAAACTGCAAGGACTTGAGAAGCCATAACCAAAGGCAAGATTCGCAACCCCTGAGGGTACCCTCACAAAATCCAACAACAGGATTGAGATTGAGATCTTCAACGTTTTGGAATTTTTTAAAGTCTAACTTTATTAAAGTCTAAAAAAATCATAAAAACCGTCATATCTCGAAAACTACAAGGATGTGAGGTGAGAATTGGAGGCAAGATTTGCAACCCCTGAGAGTACCCTGACAGTACCCAGGAAGAATTTCAAAGTTTGAGAAATTTTTTAAAATTAAATTTCTAGAACTTTTTGAAAAATCTCGAAAATTGCCTATCGTTTAAACTAAATGGATTTGGTGATTAGAATCGCAAAAGCTAGAAAAACTCTGACATTATCCTACTAGTGTGTTGCTTATTTCAAACTTGATGAAACAAACATCGAATTAAAACTGGAAAATTGAAAAAAAAACTTAACCATTGCAATATACGATATAGCTTAAACGTGAAAAAATTTCTTTGTAAACATGCAAAAATAATACGTTGAAAAAGCTTAAACGTGGCGAGATAGTGAAGCCCGCATTTAAATATATTATAATAGATAGATAGATAATAGATGAAAATTAAAAAATTAGGCGAAGGGTAGACAGACAATCAAATTATATAAAAAAGCATGTATACAGACAGACACTTTATTTGGCCTCGAAAAAAAAACTTAAAATTAATTGAAATTTTCCTAAGCATTGCATTATAAGATATAGCTTAAACATGAAAAAATCGTTCGTTAAACATTCAAAATTATTATGCTTAAACATGGGAGATAGCTGTCACTAGCATTTAAATATAGTATAGATAGATATAGATAGATAGATAGATAGATAGATAGATAGATAGATATAGACTAGCGTGTAACGCACCTCCGGTGTTCGAAATTTCAACAAGTATAAAAAACCGCTGAAATTGAGAATAAGATGTACTCTGACATCACGCAATTACAGGGTTGGTAGTTTCAATAAATGCAAAGTTTTTTATTCAATGTTTTTAGTTCAAATTTTGAAAAACCATAAAACTTTTTATATACTAGCGTGTAACGCACCTCCGGTACTCCAAATTAACAACTTATAAAAACCGCATATATAGGAAATCAGATCTAAATTCTTTGAGTGTACTGTTACAGCACCCAATTACAGGGTTCTTAATTACAAATTTTGCAGAATTTTTCATTCAATTTTTCTAATACAAATTTTGAAAAAATTACTCCGGTACTCCGAATAAACAACTCATAAAACACCGCATATACAGGAAATCAGATCTAAATTCTTTGAGTGTACTGTTACAGCACCCAATTACAGGGTTCTTAATTACAAATTTTGCAGAATTTTTCATTCAATTTTTCTAATACAAATTTTGAAAAAATTACAGGGTTCTTAATTACAATTCTGGGTTCTTAAAGGGTTCTTAGTTACCCAATTACAGGGTTCTTAATTACAAATTTTGCAGAATTTTTCAGTCAATTTTTCCAATACAAATTTTGAAAAATCATAAAATTTGGTGAAGTTTTATATATGTTCTCTGAAAAAATTCAGAATTAACTAAGAAACGTCACATCTTAGAAACTGAAAGCAATTGAGCAGTCGCATTAGGACGCAAGATTTGCAACTCCTGAGAGTACTCTTACAGTACCCAATTACAACGTTGGGAAAATCAAATTTTGAAAAACTTCAAACTTAACTTTTCTTTAAAAAAAATATATATATTTTGAAAACCAGAAAAAACGTTACACCACAGAAACTACCAAGATTTGAACAGTCTTATATGAAGGCAATATACGCAATCCTTTAGAGTGCTCTGACAGCACTCAACTACAGGATTGGGAATCTCAATTTTGTGAATTATTTTTATTTAAGTTTTCTCAAGATTTCTGAAAAAATCACAAAAATCGTCGTATCTCGTAAAGTGGGAATCTTGGGCATTCTTAATTAGAAGCCAAATTCACTACCCCTGAGATTACTCTGACAGCCCCCAACTACAGCTCAGGAATTTCAGATTTTGAATGAAGAGGTTTAATTTAAGTTTTCGGATTTTTTTTTGATAAATTACAAAAAACGTCATATCTGGAAAACTAAAAGGTTTAGAGCTGTCATATTTGGAGCAACTCCTGAAAGTACCCTCCTGAGAGAGCCTCAATATAGAGATGGGAACTTCAAATTTTAAGAAATTTTTATATCTCTTTTGAAACTGCTGAACGACCAGATATGTAAAAACAAATGCCAAATGCTGAACGTTCATGAAATAATCGACAATATTGCTTAATAACTTTCTATCAAAACCTGGAACGGTTTGGCTCAGCAGCCTCGATCTAATAAATGCCTATAGTCATTTGAAACTATGCGAGATCCAGAGCAAGTAAAACACTTTTAGTATGTATATACTATCATTAATCATTGATAGTATATACATAGTATATGTTTGTTGAAATCATTAACATGTCGCTTTTTAACCAGTATCCATGGACTCGGCGACATGCCGAACTTCAAATGGCCCATGGTTTCACTTTTGAACTACATTAATTTTACCAACTGAAATAAAGTTTTCAAATGGTCAGAACAACAAGCCAAAACCTTTCATGCAAATAAAAACAGAACAAAATTAAGAAAAATTCTAAATCAGATATGGTAGTAACGGTACTGGATAAAACTGAATGATTGACGCATAAGAGGTCAATTTGGAAAAAAATCTACTGACTAACAAGCCTCAATTTATAGAGCGGACGCATTTTTACTAATATACGAAAGAGTTCATTAAAAAAAGCCGAACCTACCCATGTCCGAACCCTCTTATTTTGTTGCTGGTCTCCTTCCCTACCTCTACGCTACAGATCCATGATACCTTGAAGGTAAAGTTCTATTTGTAATTTAACAGTCTTTGTTGATATCTTTAGCATTGGCTGTACTTAATAGCTGGTTAATGATCAAAATGAACACTTTCAAAATTAACACTTATATTTGCGACTTAGGTTGGAAAAAAAGAGGATGAGGCTTTTTGTTTGTGGAAAGATAAAATTTCAAAAAATGTCTTCTTACTGCAGCATTGAGAGTAACGTGAAAATTTTTCCAAATTTATGTATCGTGCCTTAAGTAGTTAACACGGTTCCCAAGCTTATCACCCCGTTTTTTGTATCCCCCTTTTTCTTAACCCCCTCTCATATAACGCCGAAATTAGATAACCCCACTACAATTTAACCCCTTTTTAAAACCAATTGTTAGAATCAAAGTGAAACTTACTTGAAAAGGATTCGGAACCATATCGTCGGTAAAAATCAAAGCTTTATTTGCAAAAAATTTTGCGAAGCAAAATGAGTAAACATGCACGCTGCTAAATGCGTTTTAGATTTAAACAAAAGAGACCTTGCCGATAGTCTAGACTTTGATATGAACTTGAAAACCAATCCTACCGACATGATTCAAATTGGTGCATATACAAAAAAAATCCCAAACAAAAAACCGAAACATCAAAAAAAAGGTTCTAAAAACAGTCCCATACAAAACAGTCCAAAACCATTTGAATTTCTTGACCTTGATCTTTTGGCACGGACAGAATTGATTTACGCTTTGACCTCAAACATGCGCGTAATTAAAGATCAAAGAGCCAAAGTTGGAACAATAATTTGGATGACAACCAAAGGCCTCATGGTATAGTGGTTAAAGCGTTAGTCTCAAAATTAGAGATCAACGGATCGAATCCCTGGCGTCACAAAAAAATTCCAATTTTCCGAAAACAATTGAAATTCGGGTTATTATGATAAAGGGTATATCAAGGGTACAACAAATAGGTTAACATTAGAGGGTTGGGTGGAGGGAAAAGAAAAATCAACACCTTGTATGTATTTATTATTTTGCCGGTTTCAAATCGACTCTAGCTCATTTTTGTAAAATCAAGAAAAATTATAGAAAAAAGGTGAAAATTGAAAATATAAACAAAGAACAAAAAGCAAATATTTAACTCAAGTTCGCCATAGCGCCAAAGAAATGCAAATCAGTTTTTTCTTCAAAAACATGCATAATATTCTGCACTTTTTCGTTGAGCACCCGGTATTTTTTCTTTTTTATAAATTGGTGCCCACTCGAGGCGTTATAGAAATTAAGTTTTCGGACGGAAGCGTCTTTTTGCAAATTTGCAATCACTTACCATACACTGGGATGCGATCCACTGAAGTATGACTGTACTGTATGCCATAATGCCAGCCCTCTACAGCGTTTGTTGTTCTAGCCAAACCCGATAATGCCGCATCCCTTTGATTCCATAATGAACGGGGAATAGGGCTTCCCGATTCGGGACGGGACTTTTTATGTAGTTAGATCCAAAATAAAGGCAAAGCTCGTCAACTTTCGCTATTTTTTCCGCCTTTTTTTCGCTTTTATGGTGCGATCGCAAACTATTTGAACTTCCTCCACTATTTTATCGTATGAATTTTCTATTTCTTCTTTTTTAAAAGCCAGTGCGGGTAACATTTTGAGTGCTAAAGCGAACTCGTGGTTTGTTTCGTAATCCTTTTCCAATCCGAGCTCCGCGATTTTTCTCATAAAACGTTGTGAAAGATGGAAGAAACATCCCGACAGCTTGGACTCGGGAAATTTTTTCTGAAACGCTTGAATAGCGGCCTGCTCAAAATCCAGTAAAATTTTTACAGGTCTACTATCAGGGTTTAGTATTTTTAGGGCTTCTAAGAAACGATGGTAAGTTTTTTGTTTTATTTGGCAGGAACGCATATATGCAAGCGGGGGCTATTCCTGAAAGACTAACGTGTATGAAGTAAAGTTGAAAAACCATTTTCGGGGTTACTTCCATCAGTCAACCAAAAGTTGGATGTTTCAAGCACACGTAGCATTTCAGGGTCGCCGAATAAAATAATCCTCTCGTGATCATTTTGCCCACTGTCAAATCTTATAATATTTCTAAAAATTTCGGGTATTTCGAAACTTCTAGTTGCTGGGGAGACTGGTAAGACTTCTTCTCAATGCTTGCGCGGTCGTTGTTCAATGCGAACCAAATTTTCTTTGGATGGTAGGGCTAGTTGAGTGGCAATGTCGTCTGTAAAGGGCTGAATGGCGGTTGCGACTGCGACGGTTGGGGTGTTACTATCGCTTCGATCCTTGATATTTTTCAAAACAAGTCCAGCATCAGGTTTGCCCGTGGAAATATCGTGATTATGTTGACCCCTCGTTTCAAAAAAGTTTTCTCCATCCGTAATTGCTGTTGCGCGGCATTTTTGGGTTTGGTACTTCGAGCAGTTCCAATTTGTTGTTGTCTTGTTTTTGCGTTAGGCCTGATACCACTAGCATTTGTTTGTCTCTCGAAGATAAAGTGAAATGGAATGACGTTTCAAACATTATATCTTATCTGATAGAGTGGTATAACAATGGTTAAAGAAATAGGCAGTATGATTTTTATAAAACTCACAAACGTTTTTTGTTGCCTTCAATTAGCACCATGTAGGTTATCTCTGTTTTGAACGCGTGAGTGAAGGATTTTTTCTCTCACTAATCGAAATGCAATTGTTTTTGAGATGCTAGAGGCATCAAGTGAATTAAGACTAGCTTTTCAGGCCTCAATTAGTAAACTTAATTGGACTACTCCTGTACTTATAAAAAGGACTTAATTTGAAACAAATTATCGTCATTAAAAGGAGGTTAAATTGTTGTGGGGTTATCATGTTACGGGGTTATAAAATAGGGGGTGTAAACATAGGGTGGTTAAATATCGTAGGGTTAAAGAGTGGGACACCGTTAACATATTCTATTACTGTACACACCGACGGAGGGAGAAAACGTATGCTACTAAATCATTAGCCAAATAGTACTAGGCACAGTTATACCGAAATAGAACACAAAAATGCGCAACTTGGGTTAAAACAAAGACGTCCCATTTAAACAAAAGCGTTTGCTTGTGTGATAAGGCAGAAGTTAAATGGCAGGTTTCAAACTCATAGCAAGCGTATAAACCACACGACATTTTAGTCATTTCTGCTGTTGTGATTGGAGGAGCAGTGGTGAAGTGGTTACGTCTCCGCCTCTCAATCGAAAGGTCGGATGTTCGAGGCCCACCATGATCCGTGCTCGTTGCTTGAGGGTGAGGCAACATTACCCAGCCCAGAAAAATAACCAAAAAAATTGCATGTAGTTCTTAGACAGGGGCACAACAGCGGTTCGCCGTGATGAGCTGTACAGCTCGTATGTTGGTCCTATCCCTCGTGGATAAATGATCTTAATAAACGTAGTTTGCGCCCCTCTTTGAACATACACCTAATAAAAGCGATGTCAACAGTTAAGCCGCCAAAATCAGAGTGGAAAATTTGAGGACTTCCAAAAACACATGCTCTAATTAACTGTTACGGCCTTAACTAAGTTCAGAAACACTAAGTCAAGTCAAAATAAAGACTGCAAAAAAAACTAACACCTAGGAGATTGGAACGCATCCTGATTCAATGCTCGGATTTATGGACAGTTGTTTAATTAATCCACGCTTCTAAATGGAATCCCTCATTAGCGATTTATAACAAAATTAAAAGGAAAAACCGTTCTTTTAAGCTCTATTGTAATTAAAACGCGTCTTTCGGCATCGATAAACTGCGAGAGGAATCTCTAAAAACTATGCTCTGCAACATTACACTCCACTGCAATTGTGTAGACAATTCGAAAGAGCCAACACGAAGCAATTTGAAGAGGAGTAAAAATGTTCTTTGAGCCATATTTTCATAAATTGTTGATAGAAAAGAAAACTAGCCAAATGATTGACCTCGTTTCTTTGGTGCTAAACGGTGAATTTATTGTAACCAGACATCATTATATCAATCGAATTAAATGAAGCTAAATCAAAATTAACTAACATCAAGGCTCCAGTTTTCTTTAATCAGCAAGTCTGCGAACTCTGTGAAAATTGATTTGCTCATTTTAATCCAATAACCAAACCTGCCTGAAAAAAAAGCATCCGGATACAGTTTTCATCACGATTGGATAAAATACATAGTTGAAGAAATTGAATTCGAACAGAAGAGTTTTTATCTCATAAAAATGAAATCATTGTCAGCTGACAGTTGGAAAAGTGTTATTGAACTCTACCTGCCTCCTTCTATCTTCAAAGAAAACACTACCTTACTTTTGAACTTCTAGGAAGCTCATTTTGAATTCCAAGACATTTTACGCTTGACACTTTTTTTTATTAAACTTGACTCAGTTTTACTAGGGATTTTATAACCCGCTGCAAAAGCCAAAAACTAAATTCCGCTTATAAAACTTAAAGTCAATCAAATTTTTCGGGCAATTTGCCTATTTGTAATTGGAAAGAGGTATTCGAGATGAAAAATCAAACCGTGAAAAACCAAATTAGAACATGAACAATTTTTTAGAAACGAAAAAAAAAACGCATGACCTAAATAAGTATCTTCCTTTCGTTCACAAAAACTTAGAAAATATGTTGTATTTTCATTTTAGCCAACAAGGTGCCCCAACCGAAAACAGCTCGCATTTCGTACAGACATCAGACAACTTGAAAACACCAATCAATCACAGAGTAAACCGCTTCAACTACTATCAACATCCCGGTTTACAATGTTCAAAAATATACAATAGCGGATCCGATATACTTTTTTTTCTGCTGCAACTTCATGTTGGCGCAGTATGAAAATATAGATAACCCGAAGAAATAGACTTCAAAAACATAGCCAACTGACACAGCTGGAAAATTTTCAATAAACTAGAGGAAACTGAAAAAGGGGTTTTTTCAAACTATTTTTGAACATCCAAAATTCGGAGAAAAAAACTTATCGCATTAAAAAATCTTTCTAATTGAATTAAACGAATTAAGATAGCCGGTTGTTTTGCAAGTAGTACATAATGTTCATACTAAACAGAAAGCAACGTCCAAAAAAAAATCAGTTAAAAATTTGGAAAAAAAACTTAAGAAAACAGAATTTCTTTGCATTTTTAGCTGAAATTTCTAGAAATGGTAATTTAATCAGATGGAAAATACAAAAAAGCGGTAAATATAGTTGAAGCAAGTTGAAACTCGAGTAGAAAAAATCTCAGAGGTTACTCTCTATCAAACTTCGTCTTGATCAATCTGAAAAATGACAAAAACGCAGAGCAGTTTTCGCGAAACTCCGCGAACTGTTTTTGTTTTTTAAAATTCGTATGATGACCAAAAGAGCCATGTTATCATACTATTATTTTTTTATTGCGCTGACGAATGTTGCAATCAAAATCCAGGTTACTGCTTTAATCGCCTAGTCTTTAACTCGTGTTAGCGTGTTTAATGGCATATTATTTTACTCCATTCCCAGCTACTAGAACCGTTACCTACTGTTCAACAGTCAATTGAGTTACTAGCTGTGCCAAATATATTACAAGGGAAAAAACTATATTTGCATAGGATATGAACAATTGACATAGGATAAAAAAGTAGTCTGTAGCGCTGATCCAGCCTGACATTCTTGTACATGCTCATTCATTTTGAAGTGATTCCAAACAAACTTAATTACATAAACAGTAACTCAAATCAATCCAAGCAAAAAAGACAAAAAGCTGTGGACAAGTAGAGTAAGAAATCAAAATACACGACCTGAACAAAAAACTTCCCTTCGCTCATAACAATTGGAAAAAAGTTGAAGGTTCATTTTATCCAAGAAGGTGACAGAAAACAGAACTCATCGCTTTTTGGAGAGAAACCCGGCAACTTGAAAAGACCAATCAATCAAAGATTAAACCACTTCAACGTCTATTATCATCCTGTTTTTACAATATGTCACTTTGTTCAAAATTATACTATCGAGGGTCCAAAAATACTAAATTTACTCTGCTAACGCTTAATGCTGGCGCAGTATGAAAATAAAGATAGCCTGAAAAAAATCGACTTCAAAAACATAGCAACACACACGATTGGAAAAATTTCAATGAACAAAAGTGAACCACCTAGACTTTACCTCGCGCTAGCGTGTTTGATGGCATATTATTCTAATCGGTTTCTTACAAGGGTTATTAGAACAATTTCTTTCTGTTCAGTAGTCAACCGAGTTACTAACAGTGCCAAACACATTACAAGGGGATAAAAACAAATCTTCATTTGCATAAGATATGAACAATTGATGATAGGATTAAAGTAAAGGGTGGGCTCAGGGGCTGATCCACTCAAGCCTCTTCGGAGACGCTAAGCAACCCGATATGCTGGTATATGTTTATTCATTTGGAAAAGATTGCAGACAATTTTATCTACAAAAACGAAGTAGCTTCAAATCGATTAAAATAGAAAACATTCAAAAATATGTATAAAAACCGAGTTGAAAAAATCAAAATAACAGCGTCCTAAATAGGAGTCTTCTTTTCGTTCACAATTAATCGAAAAAAAAAACGCCGAAGGTTCATTTTAACCAATAAGGTGGCAGAAAACAAAATGGAAGTCAGAAAACAAGTAAAAAGGTAGTCTGTAGCGCTGAAAAAATCCAAAAAAACTGTCTATGATCATCCCGTTTTACAATATATTACTTGGTTTTAAATTATAGTAGAGGATCCAAATTACTACTTTTACTCTGCTGACGACTTATGCTCACTCAGTATGAAAAGATAGATAATTTGAAGAAAATGACTTCAAAAACATAGCAATAGACACAGTTGGAAAATTTTCAATGAACTAATGAGAACCAAAAAAAAAACTTTTTTTTCGTAAACTTTTTGTCAACATCCAAACTTCGGAGAACAAATGTAACAAATGTAAAGTCATTAAATTGCATTTAAGTATCTTTTAAATTAAACTATTTTAGATAGGCAGTTGCTGTGCAAGCACAGGTTTTTATCAAACTATCAGCAATGACCTACTAGAAACACTGTTGAAAAAAAAAGAAAAACCTAATAAGTAAACAGAATTTTTTTAGAAAGGGTAATTAAATTAGATAAAAAATATTGTTTCTTATCTAGAAATTGCAAACTCTAGCGGAAATAGAACTCATCAGGGTTACTCTCTCATCAAATTACGACTAGTTTAATAATGACAAAAACGCAGACGAGTTCTCGCGAAACTCAGGAATTGTAAAAAATTCTATGATGACGAAAAGGGATATCATAAATTTTTTATTCCGCTGAGAAGTCTTACAATTAAAATTCATGTTCTTTACAACTGCTTTTTGTGCCTAATTTTTACCTCGCGTTTGCATACTATTCTACTCCATTACCAGCGGGATTAGAACTGTAACTTACTTTTCAGTAGTCAATCGAGTTACAAATTGTGAAACATTTGGAAGAGATTCCAGAAAATGCAAATTAAATGAACTATGCAACATCAATTCGATCACAAGGAAAAATCAAAAAAATCTGAAGGGTCATCTTTCATACTCTAAGTGACTCCTTTGGTTTTTTGGTCAGTGCCCAACCACTGCACTACCGGTTGCTGGCAATGACCAAGTTAGTGGCAAGGAAGAAAAGAGAAACTGAATATGCAATGAAATAAATATAATACAAAAGGGAAAAACTCAAATTCATAACATCACTCTGAGCAACCGTAACTTCCTAATCAGGGCGCGAGGATAAGTCAGTGTGTTTGATCAGCTGTACCAAATTTCTGAATATCTACAATAATCAAAGCTTCGAACCATTATTCTCATCAGATGTCTCATTGCGGATTCCGAACACCAGAACTATCTCCATTGAGGTTATCGTCCTAACCACCTGTGCCTCTTTGCCTTGTGTTTATCCAAAAGCAATATTTCATTTTTCAAAGAATATGAGAATAATTTGCCGTTTAGAACAATTTCTGCTCAAGACCTGCGAGATGGAAATCGAAAAATCATGTACTTAGAAAAAAGAAAGAAAAATTTGAAGATTTGATAGGGTAGTTTTTAAGAAAGGATAAAGTTTATAAGTAACGGTCAAAAGTTCAAAAACTTCAGTTGCGAAATCCATAACTTTTTTTCTTGGAAAAATTAGGTCGTGGTCACTTACGCAGAGGAGTTTCCCAAAAACGAGTTTCTCGATTGGACACTTAACTTGAGATATGGCAGAGTCGTTTTCGAGAAAGTCAAAACATTTCCCAAAAAACGGTCAAAGTTTCAAAACTTTGACATGTTTCAAGGCAATAACTTTTTCATAAGAAAAGAGGCGTAGACGCTTATACAGGTTAACGTTCAACAGCCTTTTGTTTCGATTAGAATTTTGATATCAGAAGTGCAAGATATTCAAGAATTTCCAAAAAATTGGCAAAATCAAAAAATTTGACTTTTCCGAGAATCATAACCTCTTGTGCAGAAAAATTTAGGCGTAGTCACTTGTGCAGAAAATATTCACTCCTGTTATTTTGAGAGAACCCAGATTTTGTAAGTCACTTTTCGAGAAAAGTCAAGTAATTTCGAAAATGAAAAAAAAATGACTTCTCAGAGAGTCATAACTTTTTGTGCAAAAAACTGGCCGTAGTCGATTAAACAGGAAAACTTACAACAACCCATTTTATCCATTGAACCCAATCGTTTATCCATTGAATCTCAGAGTTGGGATAGAAGTTTTTCAAAAAGCAAAAAAATCCCAAGATATGGGTCAAATATTACCCATAAATCAAATATGGGTGAAATAAAGTTATTTTCAAGTCCCCCTGAAACTACAAAAACACACTTGCAACCACAATGATACTTGCTTAGAGCACAAGATAAATCCGCGATGTGGTACCTCAGCATACGAAACCTGACCAGGCAAACGAAATGTCTACAATTCAATAATTACCAAAAAAATTTTCAACTTCATACATACTGAAAAAAACAATGAAAAAGCCGGGACTCAACATTAGGGTGCAAAAATTGTTTATGGGATTGAGAGTAACGTGAAACATGTTTTAATCAAAGACGCTTCTCACAAAACGGATATCAGTTTTAATGAATGATGTAAATTACTCGACCATTGGATGTTCAACATGTGAAACACAATCATACAGTTTATACTT